ACAGGAATAAATTAGGGATGTGGGGATTTGATTGTAACTTTCAGTCTGCAATTTGGGCATGTCAGCTGATTCAACTCTTGAATCTCTCCAAATATTATTTACTGAGATGAAGACTATGTAAGTACTGAAACATGACTTACTTAAGAAACATCTTGGTTTATTTATTTAACTGAAGAAATGTGCTATTTCTTCACTCTTTTGGCCTCATCCACACAATAAAAGTGGCCAGTCTATTCCCACACTTCAAGATTAATGGAATGCTACAATATATGCACACAAATGTATGTCAGAGGTGGAAAGTAGAACACAGTTTACATATAAATATATTTAGAGTGATGCTCCTTCCAAGCTCAGTGTATCTTTTTCTATTAAGGCCTGGACTTAAATTATAAACTTTATCAAGCAAATCCTTGCCAGCTTCATTTTTTTTTTTTCTCTTGGAGACAGAACTTTGAAAATGAAGTATACTGTCACATTAATTTTGTAGTCTCCACTTTTCCCTCATTCAGCTGCAGCCATCCCATTGAGATCCTTCATGTGATCTGATTAATGTCCAGGGAGGGAGTCACTGGGTTTGTTACTTTTATTTTTCCAGGTATTCCTTGGTGTGAGGAAAAAACAGTCAACAGTTGTTTGAACACTTGTCCTACCTGTAAAGCCACGTCCACAAAGAACCCCTCTTTATGGCATAAAGGCAGCTAAACCCTTTCCTTCAAAGAAAAAGGCAGAGGACAGATGGCAAGTGGGAATTCCAAGACACACAACCCCGCAGGGGAGTGTTTCAGGTCCAACACCTCTGGATACTCCTCAGACCTAAAAGCAAATCCCATTGATTGGCAAAGCATCCAGACCTGCAGTGCCTTCCTCACACAGGGATGCTTCAAATCACTGCTCTCCCTGAAGCTGGAGAGGCTGCTCATAAAAGCAGGCAGATTAAGGAGAAGATATCCCTCTCCAGAACAGGCTGTGCCAAGGGATGGGAATCTCTGGGCAGCGACTGGGACTCCGAGCTCTGTGCACTGAACATCAGCTGGTTCACTGGCTGCCCGAAAAACTCTCCTGGAGATTTTGTTTGGGCTGATGCACAAATTAAAAAGATGCTAAAGGAAAAAAAGGTGCTAAACCAAACCTATACAGGTTAGGGGCGAAAAGGAAACGGAGATCAAAAAGGAAAAAATATTTAGGAGGGAAAGAGCCAAGTACTGAAGAGAACTCACTACACATTTTTGGATTTTCTTTTCCCTTCTGTCTTATTTGATCAACATGGTGAAATCTGAACATTTTTTTCAGTGTTGACAAATCTGAAGTTTGCACTAAAACATGTTGAAGTTGACATTTTATTGTCGATCTTGTCCAAGTTACGAGACTGTTAACCTCTGGCAGTAGCTAAGTTCTAATGCACCCCATCCCCACTACAGATACATTAGGCAATGTATCTCGAACTTTTACCAGAAGCTACTCATTTTAGGGACAAAGGGATGAGGGACAAAACTGAGATCTACCTCAGAGCAGCAACACAGTGTGGAAAAGCTCTGGGTAAGAAATTTTTCTGCTTTCTAGCAAAGAACCAGAAGAAAGGCTGTCCCACGAAGTCAAAATAATTCCAGTGTTGCTATTTATTATGATGAAATCCAACAGCTAAGGATGCTGGACACTGGACAGCCCTACAGGAACAGAGAGTCTCTGCCCCAAACAGTTCAGAATCTCCAGAAACTCAACAAAGGATATGGGAGAAAAACAACCCAGCAACGCAGAGGAACGATCGGTGCAACGACAGCTCCTTCCATTTTCTTTTAGGGAGAAGGAGAAAAAAAAAAAAATTAACAAGATTAGCATCACAAAAGGCAAAAGCAGAAAGAAGATGGGATATGATAGAGCCAGGGAGAGCAGGAGAAAGGTGGTAAAGAATCAAGTGGCGTGCAGGGTGTGTGAGTGTGACACAGCACGGCGAGCGAAGCGACGTGGTCGCAGGAGCCGGCAGAGAAAGGGAGCTCGTGCAAAACACCCAGTTAGGAAGAGAAGGGGAAAAAAAAAACCCCAACAATCAAAAATATCAGTCACCATCAACCTCCTTCATACTCTACTTCTGCAGCTGCTCTGCTGGCTTCAGTTTTTGGGTGAGCGACAAGCCCCTCACCCGCTATCAGGGCAGACTGCGTGGCAGAGGTGCTGAATGGAAAAAGGTAAGAGGACCTGCCACATGAAAAAAATAGCTGTCCAAAAAGTGATGTACACTAAAGAGAGTAATCTTGTTTTCAGCAGAAAAGTCTAAATTACAAATATGTAACAAGCAAGGGCTAATACTTGCAATTGAAATGTATTATACGTCTGCATTACAGCTCTCAGTCTGAGTCAAGATGAGTCTCTACCACGGTAATATTAGTATGGCTCTCCATAGCCACACAGAATACAACATATTATAGATGGTATTGCGAACTCAGTCTTATTCCCATGGTAAATAAAAGCATTTTAAATAGTGACTGAATGGAAAACACTAACCACTTTGTATTTGGGTTGGTGTTATGAATCCCAAATCGGTATTGACTGCAAGTTACTACCCATATACCACGCTGGTTCATTGTTAATCCTCATACAATTTCCACTGCCATGTCAGATCCCAACCAGAAGTGTCACACTTGTTGACATGTCAACAATGAGGTCAAGCACTGAGCAGCCCCAAAGCACGAACTGCTTCACCCTCCAGGGGTGGTCACTGCAGAAGCAGGGGAATAACCAGTCCCATAACAGCTCTGCCCCTTTCTGCAATAGATCTTATATACTGGACTGTCATCTGCAGCCTTGCCCAAGCATCACGCTCTCACGCTATTTTATTTGGAATAACATTGACTGAAACCATGATTTTTTAAGAGGAAGTCAAAGGGTACCAGTCCAGTGACCTTAAACAGCTCTCTTACATTACTAACTTTGCTTGTATTTCAAAACATAACCCAGAATACCCAGGATTTTAAATGAAGCATTTATTTCAAGTTAGAAGTAACAACTGGAGACCACTTTGTTTCCATGCACTCTCACACAGTCCAAGTTTACCTATGGACAATGACCACAGAACCCCAACTGGTGTATGACCCAGAACACCCAAATTAAAGTTTCCAGCACTACAATGAGCCTTATTTTGAAAGCTCAGACTGTGCCTTGCACTATTCTAATATATCTTAAGGTAACAGAACATGTGAAAAGGATCTTCCTTCAGTTTACCTTGCACATCCCCTCTGAATTCTTCAAAGCAAGATTCAGCAAGAACCAAAGGGACTGCGTGTTTATGTTTATTAACCACAATGAAAACTGTTTTCAGGGACAAAAAATGCGAAAATTCTCAATTGCAAATGCACTTTCTAATTACTATTTGATATTGTTTTCATATGTCTGAAAAAAAGAAACTGCCTGGGTAATCGACTAAAGAGCTACCTGATTTCAGGGAATTTGAGTCTCCTTCCTCACAGTTTAGTGGCAGAACTCCAGCTGACTTACTTAAAAAATCGTCACCTTTCTTTACACTTCTGCATGTTCTCCTAAACAGAAGAGCCCACTCCTGTGTAACCCTCCAGGTCAGGAGGACTGCAGCTGAGGCAGCAGATCTGATCATATTTGGTTCCTAGAAGGGCATAATCTGGAGATCTTTTCCCAGTTTCATATAAGACATTCAGCTAAATAAATGGGATCACAAACAACACTACATTCTATGAGCCATTAACTCAAGAAGCAGCAGCATCAGTGTCAGAATCATCCCTGGCTGCCAAACCAGAACTCCAGCCTGCTTTACATTCCTGCTGACAGTTCCCACAATGAGTATGCAGCATTAAATAAAAACCATGACCTGTTTAAACAAAGATCAGAGCACCAGCTTTATCTCTGCGTGCTCTAATGTTTGTTGTTTGGCATCACAAACTGACAGCAAAACAAGTGTCTTATTAACACCAGCCCAGCAGCTTTTCGTACGGGGCAGGAGGTGATGGCTCTTGTCCACCAGGAAGATTTGTATCTTTAAAATGGGAATTCTACTTCATGTGAACATATATAGTTCCTGTTTTGAATTAGACCAAAGGAGATAAGAGATAGATGGGATAACAAGCAAGAAATTTGAACAGTCTTCTGTCTCAGATAGGTTGAGACAATGAAACAAACCACATATGCCAAGGTGAAACTGTTTAAACACACCATGAAAATTTCATGGGCAATAACTAATACTAATCAGTTCATGAGTGCATCATGCATGGGATAACGTTTGCATTTAATAATTTCAAAGAAATCCATACACAAAATAGAAATTAGTCACCCCTATTTTTTAGTACTCTCCCAGAAAATTTACAGTGCCTGGCATCTTGAAACTTTATTACGAATGGGTGCAACGCAATTAGCACCTTGCAATGTCTCCTTAACTGGTCTTCTCAAAAGATGCACGGCTTTTTTGGTAGTCAGATTTCAGATTTGTGCTTCGAAAATGTAGTCTTATATTTTAAATCTCTCCTTTAGAAAAAGCGAGAGCTCACTTCCTCACGAGCCAATCATGAAGTTTAATAATCTTGCCCAGTTATCATTTTATCCAGAATATCCAAAGATCCTTTCTAGTAGTCAAAATTAACTACGAAACTAAATAAACTGAGGTCGAAATGGCTATCAATACCATACATAATCAGCAGATCTCTTAATTATGATACTGCCAAGGTGTAGACTGTGCAAGCAGAAATCTTCAATTACCGATCTTCCGCCAAAGGGAATGGAATGTTTAAAATCTGTCTAGTTCCTGCATGCTTCCCATCCTTATCCTCCGTGTTACCCACGGACAAGTATTCATTTATAAATGCATTCCCCATCTGCAAGTGCAAAACACAGGACGCTGGTCCTAAGAAAGCAATGCATTAAGAGCCACGAAATCCCTACCTAAACATCCCCGATCTTTTTTTGTCTGCTCCCCTGCTCGGAGCGTGCTGGACACCAGACAACAGCGCGATAAATGACACCAAAACCGGCGTGAATCCTACCAAACTTATCCAGCGGTTTCCTCCCGGAACAAAACTTTGGAGGTCACTCAATCCTCTCCTACGACAAAGGGAAGTTCTTCCTCTTCCATCGCCCCTTCCCCAGGCTGCGCGAGGGGAAGCTACCGGGGAAGGCGCGCACGGATTTTCCACGGGGGGCTTCCTTTCCTTGCCGGGAAAGCTCCGGTGACACCTGGGCAGGGCAGGTGGGGGGATGCGGGGGCCACCGGGAGCTCGGGGGTCCCAGCGCAGCCTCCGCGGGAACTCTGCGAACAAAGTAACTTCCCGGCGGGGCACGGCGGGGCAGGGGCTGCTCTGCCCCTCGCCGGCGAGCCGCAGAGGGCACGGCCGGAGAGAGGGGGTGGCAGGGTCCCCGGAGCGGGGTGACAGCCCTTACCTTGCTCCGCACCCCGGCGGCGGCAGCGCCGCGGAGCCGGGGCACGGGATGATGCTGCGAGGCTCCCGCCGCCTCTCCCTCTCTCCGCCTCTCCCCCGAGCCTCAGAAAAGCCCTTCCCCTCCGCCACCCCCGCCCGCCTCACTCTCTCCAGCTTTGGGGCATATATATTTTATATATATATATATATATATATATATATATATATATTTTTTTTTTTTTAAGAAGCCAAGGGGAAGCTTGGTTGGGAGAGGCAAAGCCCTGACGCGCTCGGGGGTGGGTAGGTGACGGGGGCGGGGGGCGGTGGTGAGGCTGGAAGGGGGGTTCAGACCCTCGCACGGCAACACAGGCGGACCCATCCCCCCCGTCTCCGCGGTCCCCAGCCGGGGGAGGGAGCGCCGAGGCTCCAAGCTCTCTGCCATCCCCCGATCCCGCACCGGGAGCGGGCCCTGTGCTGATCCTCCATCGGCCAGACCCGCCTGGGGCAGCCGCGCTGCATCCCTGCCCCGACCCCCATCCCTGCGGGGCGAATCCCCCCGCCCTCCGCCAAATAAAAAAAATACATACCCTGCCCGCCGGGGGCTTGCTCGGAGGACGCAGGATTTTGTGCGAGCGATCGTCTCCTTCTCCGGGAGCTCAGCCTTCCCCTCCCCCGCCTCCCCTCCCCCGCCTCCCCCACCTCCTTTGGGGGGCCAAGAATCCCCCACCGCCGGCCCTCCCTCCTCCCCGCCCGGCCGGCTGCGGGGCCGGCGCGGTGATGTGCGGGGGCCGCGATGCTCCCCGGCCCCGGCGCTCTGTGGCCCGGTCGCTCCATGGCCCGCGGGCGGGATGCGCTGCGGCAGAGCGCGGGCTGTCCCCTCCCGCCGCGGGTGCGGGTCAGCGGGGGCGTTGCGGGGCCGCCCCCGGCGGGAGGGGACGCGGCTGCCCCCCGGCCCGGGGCAGGGCTGAGGCGGCATCCTTGGGGAGCGGGTGTGTGTGTGCGGTTGGGAGGCAGGAATTCCGCGCCGTTGCAGGGTAGGGGGTGGGGGGATGTGTCCCGGTCATCCCCTTCTTCCCTCAGCAGGGAAGTTTGGCAGCGGGGCTCCAAATTCCCGGGGAGCCGCTGCTCATCCCATCGGCGGTGGCTGGCGGGGCTCCGGAGGTCCGGTGCTGGTGGGGCACCGGGGGACACGGGGGGATGTCTGGGAAAGCCCCTTTCAGCGCCCTCAGAGGCTCCGGGCACGCACAGCCTCCCTCTGCCTCAAAATCAGGCCATCGTAGAATCATAAATATATAATATTACACTCTCGATGATATTATGAGCGGAGAGCAGGAGAGTTGAGTGCGTACACGGAGGGGAGGCAAATTACGTGTAGAAAGGGCTGTGCTGCACCACCGCCGAGCGATTCTGAAATGGAATGGCTTTAAAATCCTCCCAGGAATAAACGTGATCCCTGCACGCTTGTTCCCGTGTCACCCGCGGGGCAAAGGGAGCAGTGCTGGATATCCAGCGACAATTAAGGGAGTTACTTCTGCTTTTAGTACACACGGTGACTTAGTGCTGATCAAACACTCGTTTTAAAAAAAAAAATCCCGAGCTAGAAAACACCCGCTCTGTAAAAGAAAATTGCAACTTGGGCATTTCTTCTATGAAAAATGAATGGTATAGATGGCATTAGGATTTTTTGGGGAGGAAATAAAGGTCTGTGTGTTGCCAAAGCAGAGGCCAAACTTACACACGAGGAGGGGACACCCCAGCCACCCGCTGAGCACTCCTTTGTGCTGTGGGCAGGGGCTGGGCTGGGCATCAGAAACCCCAAATTGACCGCAAGAACCTTCCCACACGGTTCCCTTTATTGGCAAAACATATATTTATCTTGAAAGTTTGCATTTTGACATGTCAGCGTTTTTACAACAATATAAATGTGCTCGAAAAATTTTTGATCAGCCTAATGGTTGGGACCTGTTAGAAGCTGCAGAACGTATTCACAATCAATTCACTTATTCAGATGCATGAATAGAAGCTTAGAAAAGTAATTACAGGCACCTTTTTTTTGGAAATCTTGAGGCTGTGAGGTTTCCCCATGGGAAATATGAGTAATAAATTCCTTTCAAAAAAAAAAAAAAAAAAAAAAAAGGAAGCAAACGTGCTAAGCATTGTCCTCCTTTATTTTTGTCTTTACTATTAAAAAATTGTTGATTAAATGTTCCAGGTAAGGTAAGGGTGGTGGTTGGATGCAAATCCCTAATTTTAACTACTCTTTAAAAGAACAAACAAAAAGATTTGACGATGGGAATTTAGATTTACTTTTCACTTTTCAAATCCCAGTTGTCTTTCCTAAGAGAAATTGAGTTTCCTTTTTTTTGATGAATGTGTAAACATAAATTTGCAACTGATCAGTATTTACAAATCTGGCTATTTTGACTTTACAACAGAGACATGACATTGTATATACACACATTGAATTAATCTGGTGTAGCTTTAAAATATCTTATTCAGAATATTAATTTATCACCCTTTGTTGTTACAAAATAGTGAATAGTACTTTAAATTGTTGGTTATTTATTATTTGCATCAAGTTCTGTTTGTATGAAAACTGCCATTCAATTAAAATTTACATGAGGCCATGTTAAATGGTTCATTAGGACTACCTTAAATATGCTGGATCCATATCAAAACTACGTTTGCATTTTAAAATATTTTGCGAAACAACTGAAATCGTGGCCTGTAGAATGGGAATTAAACTGGAAGCTTCTAGTAGCCACGGCTTTCACAATCTTGGAGAAAGCAGATCTTATCCTCTCATACTCAGGTTTAGCTGTAGATTGACAGGGGAAAACAGGCAATCTTCCTTTTTTTCCTACTCCTGGGTTGATTTTTCAGCTTTAATACTTCTTAACTGAGCTACTTGAATGGATTGAAACAAAGAGGATATTCAGAAGAGACTGCAGCTCTCAAAAATTGCTTCCCTGCATCAGTTCCATCCTGTTCCATCTGCTTAGCCAGGGACTTCAGTCAGTCCAGTGGCATCACCTTCAAAACTTCAGCAGCAAACGTCTTTTTGATTGACTGCCTTAGTACACCAGAGCCAGTGTAAAGCTGTAATTTACCAAGTGTAAATCGAAGAGATGCAGATGAAATTCCAACACAATGTCGGGTTTTGGTTTTATTTCAGAAAATTAATTTTAAAGGGGTGGTACTATGAAATAATGTTGTCCAGCTAGGACAGTGCTTGTAGGGATTTTTATCAAAGCGTGGCACAATGGAGCAAGGAACCCCTAAATAGTTACATTTGTTTGTACAAAGAGGTTAATACTTCGAGGTGGAAGAGTTTATATATCTTATTTTTTGAATGATTAGTTTTGAAGACAGTAAGTAATCTGTGTGAATCTTCACTTATGTAACAACGGGCAAAAATAAATTTCAAGTGATAGGGGAGGAAATGATCCCCTTAGCTAAGGTGAAAGGTAGGTGGGCAAATGAAGTTCAGGAGATCACCGGGGAAGGCAGAACTGGATAATAAATATAATCCTGTGTAACAGTGCATCATATCTACTGAATTTTTGGCTTTTTGGTGGTTGGTAATTATTCATGCGTAGTTTAATTTAAATCTGTGCTTCATCACTACCCATTAAGTGAACAGATCTAGTCTACTTTAGGGCTTGTTATGTTTCTTGAGTTTTGAGACTTCTGTCAGCACAGTGTCACTGCAGAAGAGGAGCAGCAGACCAGTGCTGAGCGACGGCCCAGAGCTCTGAAATCTGCAACCCATCCTCTCTTACGTTATCCATTCCCCATCCTCTGCTTCTCTGACATGTCAGACATCCTGCACGTGCACTGCAGAGCTTGTTTAGGCACTCAAGTCAGGGCTTCCTAAACTTGTCTGACTTGCTTATGATGCTGTCCTGAAGGATCAGATTTAGTGCAAGTAGCAGCTGGTCTGATACACTCCACGTGTTTTTGGACAGGACACCTGAATACAGAGCAGGCAAGTCCAACTCAGTGCACATGATGACCTGGACAAACACAGAGAAACATCAGGTTGTGCCTGGGCATAATTGCCACATGGAGAGCAAGATGTATTGTCCAGAATGAAAAGATCTGTTACCCTGGCAAAAAAAAAAAAAAAAAGTTTCAAAGGGTTTTTTTGCTAAATTTTACATCCTTTCCACAGAAATTTGAAGATGGGCCTGATGAATGACTAACAGCCCATTTGTTTGGTGGGGAGGAGGTCTCTAATATCATGTGTGATATTTTTAATCTAATAAATACATCGTTCTTAACACTAAACAGATCAACCAAATCGGTCTCATGTTGTTTCCCAGCAAACCTCGGTGATCTTCTCTCAGCTGTGGTGAGGTGTTTCCTCCAGCTCCTCATAAAATATGGAACTGCAGTGCTCTGCCTGTGGGGAAAGAGCCTGTAGCCACATAATGATGTGTCTGTTCAGCAGTGTGAAAGAGAAATTCCCCATTCACAGCCCTGCACAGTCAACTTTGCCTGCTGGTAAACCTTAAATTGCCCGAGTTGCTTGATGTCACGACTAAAAGCCATTTGTTTCTTCCTTGTATTATGTTGGGCTTGACAAAACAGAGGGGACAAAAGTCTCACCATCCCTTGCACACCCAGCAAACAATTGTAGGTTGTCCAATATCGTGGGGTTTTTCTTATTTTTAAAAATATAGTCTAATAATACTGCAGATGCCACAGGACCTTTTCATTTGCCCATTGTGAGCAAAAAGAAAAGCTGAAGTCTCGAATACCAAAGCACCACTCTGTGAATTGTGGAACTGAGGAGGTACATCCAGCAGCTACAGAAAAGATGACAGGACAAAACCTCAGACAAGCCCTCATTGTTTCATCCCAAAGATGCCAAAAATGGCTTTGGAATGATATCCAGCTTTTAATTAAGACAAATGAGAAGAGTCACAAATCACCCCTTTTCCAGGTCATGTAGAACGTAGAATTTC